CACACCACACCACACCACACCACACCACACCACACCACACCACACCACACCACACCACACCAAAAATAAAGTAAAAAACTGCTTAAAAAAGCCTTACTTTTAGTCTTGATTTCAGTTTTTCCATTTCGTTTGCGTTTCGTGTTTTCGAGTTGCAAACATCTCCACTATATAAATAATCACCATACCATTCAATACCACAATAAGTGCATTTGACTCAGTCTCGCCTGCAGACAAGTTATGTTATTAAAAGTTCGTCTAAAAGCTTAAGTGATTAGTTTTGATTGATGAAGCTCAACGAACGGAAATGTTAAATCTCCATGAAAGATCGCCTTATTCAACTACTTAAAATACGCCGATGATGACACGTCTGGCGAATTGGTTACTTTATATTTTTTTATTTTTCTATTTTTTTATTTACGTTAAGATATTTCTGGTCGAAGGTTGTTCGCAAACATGGGGAAAGTTATGCTATGATGATATTTAGCAGCAAGCTACCTGGAAAATTAATAACTGTGTAAAATTTAAGCTATCTACTTTTTTGAGTATCGAAATAAGAGTATACAAGATAATCAAGTTACACATACATATCTTTCCAGGGTTAAATAAGCCGGACGGTTGTCTTTTCGAGTTTAATAGAGACTCTTAGCACGACGTTCTGGTCTTGCTTCTACAGTAAACCTCATATTGCAGTTCGATGTCAGTCGGTTTCCGTCAAACGTTCGCCGACGTTTAGCAAGGCGTCATAACAAAGTTTTTGCTGGGAAGAGCCGCCGTATTGAAATTCATTGAGGCCAAGTGTTTCTTCATGTTCGGGGGATGATTTGGGGCGGTAAACCATCCTCGGGAACCGAGGAGTGAAATTCTGTAAAAGTAAAGTAAAGTACCTATATTTAACGTCGGTAGTTCCTTCAGTTGAAATTCAACTGCTATCAATGGAAGCCGACGGTGCGCACTTTACCCCCTGCCTCTCTCCATCAGTGCTTTGTTTTAAGAGTATTCAAAGTTGAAGCTACACGGATTAGAGAGAAGTCGAAACAGACGTGGAGATCCTAAGGCGGATCGAACCGTGGATCTCAAGCTCTGAAGGTCGCGCACTAACCAACTGAGCTACGCCTGCTCCTAGTAAGAAAAAAAGCTTCTGGGAGCAAAAAAGGAGCAACAGAAATTTACCCATGGGTTCCCGAGGATGACGGTAACCTGATGCTAAAGGACTCTAATGACGATTTTTTCCCCGACATAACTAGACTAAATTTTGATGACAAAGATTTTTTTCGGATTTTTAGCTTGTATAGAAAGCAATTATTCATACAGTATTCAAAGCCGTGAAGATCTATAGGTTCTTGGCGTCTCCATTCATAGATGAAAAGGAATTAGTATTGCCATGGAAACCTACAACCGCTGCGACTGAAAAGATAATGTGGGGGCTCAGTTCATCGATGGCTCAATATTATTTGAACTATTTATTGAACGAATTAAAATCAATTAAACTAGTCCGAGGCAATATTAAGCTGGGCTATGGCATTTATGAATCAATAACTTACCTTGGAGTCCTGTTTCGTTTATCATTTTGCTTTTCAATCGCTGTGGCAAACGTCAGCTGCAAAGGAAAAGAAAAGTGCTGCTAAATATAGAGTCAGAAGACAAATGTGGTGATGATGGTATGCACATCAGCACGCACACGCTTTTTATTTGGTTATGACTATGAACTGTAACGGTGCACGACACGGCAAAGGTATGGAATTACTAAGCGAATAATACGAATGTGGATTCAAAGATGATGACGACGATGATGATGATATGCACATCAGCACGCACACGCTTTTTATTTGGTTATGACTATGAACTGTAACGGTGCACGACACGGTAAAGTCATGGAATTACTAAGCGAATACTAAGAATTTGACGTTAAAACTTTCTTCATTGTAAATAAATAAATGAATGAAAAAGTAATGAGAATAGTTTTTTAAAATGTAGGGACAAAAAAGGACAAACGCAAGAGATTATGGTTCAAAATAGGCTTTCCAAGATACTGTAGTATTCCTAGTACCAATGTCAGGCTCCATCCACACGAATCTAAATATATTTTAAAAGGATCAGTTTTTTTATCCCGTCTTCAAAAAAATTCTCGTTCACAATTAGCGTTTTCTAACCGTTTCCTCGAACACGTATCTATTTTCAAAAAAGTTGTGTTTCGAAGTGTTGTATTTACAGGAAACGTGTGGATAAAAGGCCAAACGACAAAGAAATAGTCCGTTTCCAAAAATATCCGAATACATGTGGACGGGGCCGCCCTTGCCATGATATTGACAAACACTGTAGCAGTAATCTTAGAGGCTGTCACCTTGGTCGGTAGAAATACTTTCAAATATCATGAATCTTTTTAGAAACCTAATAATATTATACATAGAATATTTGAATGACTACGCGCTTTCTGATTGGTCGAAACGCAGCTTGAAAACCAATGTTGATATCGGCTTCCTCTCGTGTTTAGCTACCCTAACATCTACATATTAAGTTTTCAATAAAATTTTGTCTGGTTTTTTTTTTTTTTTCGTTTTTAAACATATATTCCACTTAATTGTCGTAATTGTCTATCATTATATTATTTGAAAATAAAATTGAAGTTGAAGTTGTTTCTCTATGACTTCTTTCTTACTTCATATTACAGCTCCGAGTGTGTTTATATTTCTAAATACTTAAAACGAAGCTAGCCTTTTAATGGTGTTTATATTTCTAAAACGAGGCTAACCCGAGCAACAGAAACTCAAAGCCGCTCGAGTACCGATACCAAAGAAATAATTTAACATGCAAGTTAAAAAATATCCTTTAAAAAAAGCCATAATTGAAAAACATTGGGACATAATGAGATATGATATCGTTTGTTATCGTGTCATTTCCCATCTGAAACTCATATTTTTTATCGACTTCCTTTCGCTTTAGTATCGCATGAACTCCAATTATTCGACTTAACTTGCTTTAACAAAGCGCCTTTAGTTTTTGGAAATCTCAATAGCATAAGCTGCAGCTGAGCATAGGGGGGAAATTATAGTATAGGCCTTCACGACATGAACTTAATAAAACCCTTTGAAGAACTTGCTTAGTACGCTGTGAGGGCGTAAACCCTTCCTTCCATAGGCCTTTTTTGAGTTCGATAAACAGGATGTAATGTAGTCTAGCTTTGGTACAAATACAGCATTTTCGCTATCTCAGAAAAGGTCTATTGTGTAATCTTCTGGTTGCCTGTATTAATTAACAATTATTCGCCGAAGGCGAAGTGAATATCGGGGAATATTTACCGAGACGCGAGTCTTCGAGCGGCGAGGTAAATATTCCCCTATATTCACTGAGGCTGAGGCAAATAGTATAAATACACAGGTGATTCTTTCAACAAAAAAAAAGGAAAAAAAAAAAGAAGATAAAAGACATTTTTTCCGGTAACAGCAACGAATCGGCTGGCCGCCATTTTGGATTATCGCTGGTGATGATTATCGTGTGATAGTGTGAGTTTCTCGACCAATCAGCGCGCGAGATTTTCAATAATCAACTGTGTATTTTTACTAATATGCATTAATGAGCAAGTGCTAACAAACTGAAAGCCGCAAAAACATAATAATTTTGCGCTAGAAAAAATAAGCTATTTGCATCAATAGATCACGTGACATTTTTTCGCGTAGCAACGCCATGTTGGATTGACCCAATTTTTTTCCGTGATCTTGGAAAGTTCTCAAAAATAATTAGAGCTGCGGTAATAATGAAAGGAAGGAAATGAAAAGGATGAAAGAAAGAAAGAAAAAAAGAGAACGGTAATAATGAATGAACAAAAGGAGAAAAACAAACAAGAGAGTAGAAATGAAGGATATGAAGAACAAAGGACGATAAAAGAATGAAAGAAGGAAAAATAGTAAAAAATCCTGCAAAACAGTCACGAAAATGATAGCGCACGTGCTACGGGACCTTCCTCATAAAACGTGACTCAAGAGATACTGAGAGATGAATGAAACTAACCTATCGGTCTATTAACTCGCCAATCTTTACCAATACTTGCTCGGTAAAAAAACGCCACAAATACAGTAGTACACACATTATAGACCATACGAAAAACGAGTGTAAGACTGGGAACGAGCACCACGAACAATGAATGATTTGAAAAAATAATTACTATCACAAGAAAGACCATGTCTAAATTAGTAATTTTGGAAAGTTCTGTTGTCATATGATATATTAAATCCCTGAAGAGTTATAAGAATTTGGAATGCACCGAAAACATGATAGCGACGCTGGTAGGGCCTTGGTTGTTGTTTCCAAACGAACCTTTCTAATTTATCATTAAATGTTACTACACTAAAATCTTGGAAGATCACTAATACTCTTGCTAATGAAAGCATTGTCTTCTTCTACAACTGATGAATTAAGGTATTGCAAGGGACACGCCCTTTTTCATATGTTCTATGGGACCTAAAATCTGACACGGATCAATACATTACTTTGGTAATGCAAATTTTCTCTCCGTTCCAATTTACTCAGGTGGGCAAAAAGGTGAGGCACGGCCATGCGTCTCATTAATTCAACAAATTACAAAATTTTGTCCCCAGAATAAACTGGAACCAGAGAAAATTTGCATTAGCAAGGTAGTGTATTCGTTTTGGGGTTCGTTGGACTACCCGATATATATTCTAGGAGTCCTCAATTGAGTTTATAGGCGAAGGCATTTTCTTTCCGAGATTCCACACTTTTTGCCAAATATGGCCGACAAGAACAAGACGTGGAAAAAATAAATGAAATCACTTTCTGCGTCCCTTAAAAATGAAAGCAGTCTATTTTTTGTTTGAGTTCTATTCCCATTTATTTGCGTATAGGAGGCAGGGTTCTGGACCTTTAATGACTGGACGCAAAGATACTTAGACGTGAATCAAACTATACCCTATTGGTCTATTAACGAGCTGATCTTGACCAATCACTTGATAAAGCAGTGGGGTATTTCGGGTCCAGAGACGTTCTAAGACGTGACTCAGGAGATACAAAGACATAAATAAAACTACCTTATTGGTCTATGAGCTCGCTAACCTTGAGAATCTTTGTAACGTAAAGAACTGTAAAACAAACACGGTAAAGCCGACTGTACAGTTGGTATGGGACCAAAGGCTTCTCAGACGTGACTCGAAAGCTTGGAAATAAATAAATCCTCTTTGCTTTAATTGCTTAGAGTCGTAATACTCAGTTGTATAGTTTTCTTTACAGACTCATTTAAAGACAGAATGAAATGTCAAAAACGTATGACAACATCACAATCGTCTCTCACTATAAGCTTACTAATCTCAGATTATTTCTTTCTGTTGACGGATATTGAAGTAGGAACTAAAGAAGAGGTTGCGTGTGGCCCAGAGGAAATTCTAAATGGGACGTGACTCTTCACAATAGGGGCTATTATAACAAAAGAGAGGATGCCTCCTCGAACTCTCTATAACCTTGCCATTCAAGCAGTTCTGCCCCCCCCCCCCCCTTGAAAACTGAGGGAAAGTCGTGTGCGAGTTCAAAATTGACGAACTTCAAAATGAAGAGAGACAGAACTAGAGAAGATGAGACAGAGAGCCAGACAGAAAGACAGAAGACAGGAGCAGATAGAACAGCAGTTTTTAATGGTTAAGAATGAAACAATGTATTATTATTATTATTATTATCTGCTGGTTTTGACATCATTTGTTCTAGAACTTCTAGAACATCACTGCGCGGCATCCCTCCACCCCCTCCTCCCCCCTGGAAAAAAATCTAAACCAAATGGGATAGACTAAAAAAGACACTCGTGATGGGCGTGAGTCAGTGATCTACAATTTACTACTTAAATAAAAAAATAAAAATAATCCTTTTGATCGACCATCCTGAGCACGTGTCCAGGATCACCTGTCCAGGATCACCTGTCCCATACAACAACATGTACGTGTTGGAATAAATCTACTGCGCAACTTGACAGCAGATTACTGGAAAAATCGCCTAAGAAGTTTGATTATCAGGACTAAATTGTGGATGATGTAGTTGCGAGCATGAATGGAACGCGCGTTATAAACATGAAAGTTATTATTATAGTTATATCTATGTTCGTTCACTGGTAAAATATACTAAGATCAGATCACTATTTTGGTATTCGTGACCAGATGATATATGGGAAAAGGTGGGAATAAGAAGGTGGTGGGATTCGGATTTTTAAGGTTTCTCTTGATTATGCCTTACGATGTAATGCATCTAACATCTGAGCACCATTTGGTTCTCACGACCCATAGGATTCACCTTAAATGGTCAAATAAATCCGATATATCTTGTTGTATCTTATATGGGGACGCGCAGAGGCGTTCTCAGACGTGACTCAGGAGATACTTGGACATGAAAGATAACCCAGGTTGTCGTTTGGTGTTTGGGGTGTAGATAGCCCTGAGAGGTGTGTTATTAGCAAGGAGTTCAATTACACTGCTGTAACCTTTTCTTTGGTACAAGTTTGATCACTAAAGTAAAATAGCAAAATCGAATGAATGATCGAGTGGTCGGATAACCAAGGTGGTCGGGTTTGGCTTATAGAGGCCCCGAGAGGTGTGTACATGCTAGACCGGCGGCTATGTTATTAGCAAGCATTTTAATTACACTGCTGCAACCTTTTCTTTGGTACTAGTTTGATCACTATAGTAAAATAGAACTGAATTGATCGAATGAATGATCGAGTGGTCGAATAACCCAGGTGGTCAGGTTGGGTTTCTACAGGGTCCCTAGAGAAGCGTACGTGTTGGAACGCTTTATCTTATTAGCAGGGATTTTTAATTATACTGCCACGATAACGACTTTGCGATTAGTAAGATAGCAGTAAATTTATCGGTTGAATTGATCGAGTAGTCGGATAACCCAGGTGGTCGGGTTTGGTCTCTACAGAGGTGCGTACGTGCGGAAACAGGACATGTTATTAGCAGGGATTTTAATCATACTGCTGAAATAAAGACTTTGCTTTGGTCTATGCGATAAGTAACAGATTAGCCTTGATCGCCTTGTGTAGCGAGATGATCTGCACCACGCATATCTAATTATATAATACAACCCCTTGGGATGTAAGAAAAGCAATGTTTTAACAAGTTTTTCATCAGCACTTAAATTTTATCCATCTGAAGATCAGAGCAGAAACCTTTTACATTGGAAGGGTCGGTACAATCAAAGATTTGGTCGCGTTTTCGACCGGTCGTTACCGCAGATCCGACCATGAAAGAACATTGGCGTTCAAATATTTCTATAAATTATTAATTCTTTTAAAATTCTGTACTTTTTCGCAACGTTTCTTTGTATGGAAAAGGACATAACCAAGTATTGTTCGTAAAACTGAATAGTAACATGTCTTTTACTGATTATAGTAGCACGAATCTGTTACATTTCGTTTTCAATTAAACACGTTTCTCACCTTCCAATCCTCACTGGAGATTTCTTTGTCAAAACTTGTCAAACCTGTTATGACATCTTTAATCAGCCTCAACGCCAGTAATTATAAAGTTGTCAATTTTGACAAAACTGACTGTTGGAAAGAAAAAAAGAGATGTTCAGAAATACGAAGCATTTTTGGTTAAAAATATCTACCACTATTCATGAAATTTATATTCATGTCATACAAATTGGTCCTACAGATTCTTTCTTACTTCCTTTCCTTTCCTAACAATAACCCGGCGCATGCGTAGCTCTTAGAGATACATCGATTACAGAACCACAGGGAACCCAAAATTCTAATTCCACGAAAGAGTCCTGCGTGGGTTTTTTTAAAATCTAGATTTCTTTCACGTGTCGCTTTCCTCGGAGTTCAACGTGCACAATTAGAAAACGTTACATCAATTGCCTCATAAAGACTTTATTTTTCTCCTAAAATGTGATAATGGCTCTTGATCCTACAATAAAAACTATTAAAAAAGTTAAATTGCTTTCGTGCGCTGGAATCGATATGAAATAACGTAAATTCACCTACATAGCCAAGCCGCAGAAATTTGAATACGAAAACACTGAAAAGCAATCAATTTTTTTTGATTATCTTTGCCGGGTCTTTGCCACTTAATGACTAGAAAACTTTTCAAATATAATAGCTAAAACCTATTACGTGTTCAGTGTTGCAAGGTGTTTGTGATGGAAATATTTGATAATGGCTCAAATATGTGTTCGAAAAGATGCCACGAAATGTATTCTATTTCATTCTAGAACCGACTCAAGATCGTTCCCTTGACAGTTGAACAGCTTGCGTGTACGGAACATCGGGTGTTCGGTTCGCAATGGTTTTTACAAGGGTAAACAAAATCGTACTCGAATAACGGGAGTAAAACTTCCTCGACTAGCTACTGTATTCAACTAGTAACCTCATCTCTTCACACAAGGGGTCTTGGACACCGTGTGAAAAGGGAGCACACCAAGACAATGGTAGTGAAAACAAAGGACTTGATCAAACAAAGCCGTCTTGGAGATCGCCGTGAATTTGAACCGAATACTCTTTACCCTTCAATGTAAAATTGTTACCAACAAAAATCAAACATATCAATTAACTGAACTTCTCCAACTTGGATTATTCTATTTTTTCCCTTGAAAACGATTTTGGAAAATAAGGGGACGTCTTCATTACTTTTATTTAGAGGATCAGTGCTAATCCCCCAAGGTGTCGAGGCTAAAACAAGTTAATGATTGATGGGATAGTATTATGAAATGTTGCACAATCTGTAAGGTTTTTTCCTGCGAACGTGACCTGCCTGTATAATAAATGAGGCAATTCCTCTTGTGGGTTCTTAGCTGTAGGTATAATTGAGGTAGAACAAGGTCTCGTGCCATGTTTAATAGTAGAACGTGATTGGCTGGGATGGACGGGTTGGTATATATAGAGGTCAATGTTACCATATGGGCAGAAGGTTTAAAGCACTGACCGACGAACGAATCTAGTCATATAAAATTGGTGGAGATTTCTTCAGTGGAAAATTGGAAGAAATTTTATTCGACGCAGCATCAAGTCTATCTTGAGTCCGTAGAGCATTCACAATTGATCCAAGAAGGAAGAAGGGAGAAGAAAAACTTAGCCAAACGTCGTTCAAAAGTATTGATCCCGTGAGCAAAATGCAAAGACACAAGTGCATCAAGGAGAAGATTGACCAGTTTTGTGGCATGACCGCAAGACAAGACAGCAAAGAACGAATCGTAGATTTACCGTTTACAAATCTAGGACTCCTTAAGGACTGTTGTGAAGGCAAATTCAACAACTATTCTAACCGAGCATCACCAAAAATAAGCAGATCAAGAAATTCTACAAGACCGAATAGTTGCAGCGATGACGAGCTTGTCTATGCCATGGAGAAATTCCCAGACTTTTTCCCGCCAGAATATTTATCTTATAATGACAGCACATTCAGAACTGTTGCAGAAAAACAAGAACTTTTGAGAGAGAAAATGCACCAAGATGAAGAACAGATTGATAGAAAAGTACTTGAATGGTTGCATCAAGAATACGGAATCTAACAAACCTTAATAGCTTCTAGATATGATCTTATGAAAATCGACCAGTTGAATTAATAGCTATAGCTTTAGAAACATTCTAGTAATTTTTATATCTAGTGTTTCACTTTCCAATTGAAATTTTTAACTAAGAAAATAGAAAAGCATGTATGTTATATAAATCGTTATGGCTTTTAGGATTAAGCTATTCGGGACTTTTTCTTAGTGTCATTATCCTACTTTATTAGAATTATCTTTATCTAACATCTGCTCAAACTAATCTATTCATGCTTTGGGATTCGAGTTGCAATTGGTTTAAGAAGTATTAATGTCCTTCGAAAATTATTTTATTTTCTCGGACAATTTGAAAGATTTTTTAAATTTTATTAAAATTGCTGCGAGAAAAGACGAGGAGAAAACAATACGAATAAAGATTTACAATTTCTAAATAATTTGTAAATACATAACACTATTTTGTATTTATTTAAGTAGGGAACATTTTTAATAATAAAAAAGCGTCAAGAAATGTGATATTGTGTAATGTTTGTTTGTCTATATGTCGAAATATCTGTATAATAATCGAGCTTGTTTGCCAGGATCGTGCTCCTGAGTGTCGTTTGGTTTGTCCTATTGCTAGGTAACTCATTCATACTCGTTCACTCCTATCGTTTTCCCCATAGCAACTTAAACTTATTTCCACATTTATCCTATAACTACTCTATGTGATAGTTGGTAGGCTAGAAATTTTTCGTTCATTTTTTTTTCTTTCTATTTTTCTTTCTTTCCTATCTTTATTTATAAAAAAAATTCATTTTATTCTTGGTGCAACAGTCAAAACTTCATGAAAGGTAAACCTGAGGGAATGATTCTCTTAGGTACCGACCGACAAATAAAGTTTGAGCCTTTGATTTCATTATTATTATTATCATTATTATTATTATTATTATATTTTATTATATCGATTCTTGAAATCTCATCGATGCCTTGAAACAACCTCCGGGCTGATCTAAGGCAGAGCACGGCTAACTAACACATCAAAATGAAATTGGACGTGTGTTTATGCGCGGGGGGAGGGAAACCAGAGAACCAGAGAACCTTAAGAAAAACCCTCAAATCAAGAGAAACCTAATAAACTCTACTCACTTGCGAAATTCTAGATCATAAAAAAAAACTAAGCTTAGAAAAAAACCAATCGGTGCAACAAATGTTGGAGCAGCTGAATACACAAAAGTCAACGAGCTGAGGTGCTATTGATCACGATTATAAGACATTCAAGTTTCTCTTTTATTCTTTTTTCCATTTTAAATGAAATAATGAGACTTAATTCTTTCTGAAACCTTCGGTATGTTGTCTGATCTATGAATGGAGTAAACGACGTTTTTGTTAAGATTAAAGAGAGCACATCACGTATTATCATGGTTGATGATCTGGAACATATGATTATGCTGAATATTTACTGTATATATTTGGTCGATCCTCGTGGAACTGTCATGGGTAGTGTTGGGGAAGTTTAATTTAGGAATATTAAACGAAGGCGCATGTCTCTGTACGGACATAAACACGCGGAGCTGGGAGCTGTTAAGCAAAAGAGAAGCAAGCCTAGGAACACAAGGCGTAGCTGACTGTTTCTCTTTTTTTTCGAGTGCTCTGCAGCTCCCGGAGTCTACATTCAGCTGATTCTCATTAGGCGCGCGGTTGGACTAAACTGTTAGGGGTGGTGTCGGGGCACCTATAGCTATCGGGAAAGTAAATAATAATGAAACGTATTTATATTGTGCAGATATTAACATAAGTTTTCAAATGCGCATAAAATGCTATTTTTTTTAAGTCATAAGAAGAGTTTCTAAGGGAATTTTCGAAGATAATCTTTTCCTTTTTTTCCTATTTGTATTTCTTTCTTTCTCATCAATGACAAACTCAAATGTGACTATGAAGAAACCAAAAGTCATCGAAAACAGCAAAAGCAACTTGAAAAAATTCCGCCCCAAAATTTCATAGATCAAAAGCTAAGTAGAAGAATCCTATTATTCAATTTCAATATTTTCAGTAATTTAAAATGTTTTGTACTTGCTTATAACTAATTACTTAATAAACCGTTCAACCAACCCGAAACACACCTGCGCAAACAAGGGTAAAAAAGGTGTAAACCCTGCCGGATTTACAGAATACGTAGATACTATTGCAATTACCAATAAAGATTGTTCTTAATTATTACTATTGTGCCTGATTCATTCATTAATATGCGCCGGCGTCACGTGACACTAAGCAGGCCAAAACGTCAACAAATCAATAAATGGGCCAAAATTTCTAGCACTCTTTACCAGCACGCCCCAGCCTTTCCTTTATGTCACTATAACTGTGCGAACTTAAAGATATCATCAGCTTAAATAAACATCCATTCAAAGGAAGAGCACAGAGAATAGACTAAAGTTAAGGATGTATTCCTGTACAGCTGCTCCAGGCAAAACAACAACCAAAAAAAAATTCAAACTGCTGTTAAAATGCGAATATTTCTTCTATCTAGGTATATACGCATCAGGCTCAAATCCCGTCCAAGATATTTGTAATTTTTACTAAGATCTGGACGTTCCTGGCATTTACGAGTACGCATTTTTTTTGTAATTTTTATCAAGATCTGAACGTTTTCAGTCCCTGGTCTTTACGAGATCAAATTTATAATGAAAAAAATTAACAAGAATATTAGATTGTGTTTATCAAATGTTTGAAAGTAGAAGCTATAAAATTCACACAGTATTTATGGTCATTAGGAGTAATTTAAAGCTAAGTATCTATAGCTTTGTGCAGGAGAGGTGAATAAAAAAATCTTTGATCGAACCCTGAAACAATTTCTTGGTTGATTTAGTCGGAGCACCAGTAAATAATAATAAAGCGAATAAAACGAGTCTCTATGCTCTTTACAATTATTAATAATCATAATAAATGATTAATAATTATAATTGATACTGAATTATAATCAATAATTACAATAACTAATAATTACTATAATAATTAATAATAAATTATAGATGCAATAGGGATTTAGCTGATATCAAAACAGGGTAG